CAGTGCGAGCCAAGAAATTGTGGGTGCAATGTTCCAACTTTATCAGGGGGCACCTGAAGGCCAAGCCCCCAGCTTCCTGACCAGGAGTCAGAGATCTCTGCCACATCATCTCAGAGTTGCCCCAGGGAGCTGAGCTCCAGGCTCCAGTCTCTGGGAAACTGCCCGTGTTGGCTGCCCTCACTTCCTGCCTGCCTTCTGCACCACCCTCCCCAGGCCTCCCAGACTTTCTTCCCCAGATAATCTGCAGGCGCCACCAGAATCTTACTCTGGACTCTGCTTTGGGGGCGGGGGGGGAGCAGTCCAGCCCAGAGCAGAGAGAGCCAAGAGCGGGGCCAGAGACTCCAGAGTAGCAACAGAAAGAATCTCTACTTCTCAAGAAAGGGGCCAAGGGGATCTGGACAGGGATGGGCTGGGAGCAAGGCACCGACTGGCTACCATGGCCCCGCTAGAGAGACAGGGCTGGCCCAGAGACCGCAAACCCCGAGAGAGCAAGAGAAGCAGAAACAGCCTGTCTCCCCCACTCCCTGTCAGGCTCCTTTCCCTGCCAGGCTCCAGCCAAGGCCAACCAGAAGTCTGAGTGAGCAGGAGCACCAGTGGTGCTCCAGCCACTCCGAGATGGGAGAGGGGGAGGGGGCGTGCTCCAGCACATAACTGATGGCCCTCCACGTTTTGGCGTTGAGGCCACATTTGACACTCAGGGTCACTGGGTTCTGGGGGCATGGGGGTGGGGGGTGGAAGGTGAACCTGGGCCTCTCACCTACAAAGCACGCTCCCAGCCAGCCACTCAGGCCCAGACTGAGTCCCCTTTATTTTTTATATATATTTTTTTTATTTATTTGAGGCTGGAGCGATAGCCCAATGGCTAAGGCGTTTGCCTTGCACGTGTTGACATGGCCAAACCGGGTCCAATTCCTCTGCCCCTCTCGGAGACCATGGCAAGCTACCAAGAGTATCTCGCCCGCATGGCAAAGCCTGGCAAGCTCCCTGTGACATATTCGATATGCCAAAAACAGTAACAACAAGTCTCACAATTTGTTGTGAGATGTTACTGGTGCCCGCTCGAGCAAGTCAATGAATAAAGGGAGGACAGTGCTACAGTGCTATTATTTATTTATTTATTTATTTTTGCTTTTTGGGTCGCACCCGGGGATGCACAGGGATTACTCCTGATTATGCACTCAGGAATTACTCCTGGCAGTGCTCGGGGGACCATATGGGATGCTGGGAATAGAACCCAGGTCGGCCGCATGCAAAGCAAATGCCCTACCCGCTGTGCTATCTCTCCAGCCCCAGACTGAGTCCCCTTTAATCTGCTTTGAAAGCAAAGTGTGGATGATCACAGGTCTGAGAAAAGAGTTTTCTGGGTATCAGAATGGAGTCAAGTAAAGGACAGAGACAGGAAGGTCTGGAGAAATAGGAGCCAGCACCCCTCTGATTTATCACAGCTCAACGATCTTCATGGCTTCAATTAACAAGCAATTTATTATTCAGACACACCTCAAATTATTGAGGGTCACTTTCAGACACGGCAATAAAGCAAATATCATGATAAAAGGAGGCACGCAGATATTTTGGCTTTGGTGCATTTCAAAGTGCTGTTCTCATTACAGTCCGTAAGTGTGCTGTAGCACTGTGGGTGTATGTTCCGGGGTAATGCACACACCTTAATGAAATGGGACTTGGACTCATGAGCACAGTCTCCTGAAAGAAATGTGATGACTGTTTATAATAGCCAGAATCTGGTAAAAACCTGAGTGCCCGAGAACAGATGACTGGTTACAGAAACTTTGGTACATCTACACAATGGAGTACTATGTAGCTGTTAGAAAAGATGAAGTCATGAATTTTACATATAAGTGGTACTACATGGAAAGTATCATGCTAAGCGAAATGAGTCCGAAAGAGAGGGACAGACATAGAAATGTTGCATTCATTTGGGGAACATAAAGTAACAAAATAGGAGACTAACACCCAAGAATAGCCGAGATAAGTACCAGGAGGTTCACTCCATAGCTTGGAGTCCAGCCACACATGCTAAGGGAAAAGGCAACTCAGACAGAGAAGGGAGCACCAAGTCAAGGGTGTTGGGAGGATCCTTCCAGGATGGGAGATGCATGCTGAAAGTAGACTATAGACCGAACATGATTGCCACTCAATGCCTCTCTTGCAAAACACAGTACCCAAAAGAAGAGAGAGAGAGAACAAGGGGGAATGCCCTGCCACAGAGGAAGGGTGGGATGGGGGGGATGGGGGGTGGGAGGGATGGTGGGACCCGTGGTGGTGGAGAATGGGCACTGGTGGAGGGATGGGTACTCAATCATTGTATAACTGAAACCCAAGCACAAAAATTTGTAAGTCTACAACTGTACCTCATGGTGTTTCACTAATAAAAATTTAAAAAAAAAAAGAAATGTGATGAATGTGCTTGCTCAAGTGGGAAGAGTTTGGTAGATGTGACATTGCTGGATTTTGAGTCTAGGTCATCAGAAGCTTCTGTGCTTCGTTGGGGCTTCTGGAACATTCTGGGGACTCGGAATCCCTGTGTAAGAAGGCCAGCTACTTGAAGGGCATGGTGCTGAAGAATCGGCCTGCAGGTGAATGCCTGGGGTCCATGCAGGAAGGCAGGGGCCGATGTTGCAAAGACATGAGCACCATGTGGTCTGTGGGGTGTGGAAGTTACGAGGTGTAGAGGGATGGTTGATGGTTTTCCTGTCAGATTCAAACTCTGATGAGAATAGTGCCTGCTTCAGAATGTCTGTAAAGACAGAACAAGATGGAGCTTTGAAAGTCATGGTTTTCGATTGTTGGTCCCGGGTGTATAACGGTTAAAAAAAAAAGATGGCTCAAGCTTCTCCTTCTCCTCTTCCTTTCTCCTTCTCCTTTCTCCTCCTCTTCCTCCTCCTCCTCCTCCTCCTCCACCTTCTCTTCCTTCTTTTCCTCTTTCTCCTTCTCCACCACACCCAGAGGTGCTCAGGGCCTACTCCTGGTTCTGCGCTCAGGACTCACTCCTGGCAAGTCTCAGGGGGTCATATAGAGTGCCAGGGATGAAACCCTGGTCAGCTGCTTGCAAGGCAAGTGTCCAGTGCACTGTATTATCTTCCTGGCCTCTACCTCACTCTTTATAGACACTATGTAGAATTGCAAGACTGAATGTGGGGGTTGAGGAAAACTTGGCAACAGTAGACGGCTTCTGAACACGTCATGACCAAAAATTAATTCCAAATCAAACGCATCACGAATCCAAGATGTTTCCGGCAGGGCCTACCCGTGCGGTACTTCTCAGGCAAAAAGGAGTGGAAAGTGGGAGAATGTTTAAGAACCTCTGTTTGGGGCTAGCGAGATAGCACCGGAAGTAAGGTACTTGATTTGCAAGGAACAGATCCAGGTCTGATCCCTGGCACCACATCTGGTCCCCTGAGCAATGCCAGGAGTGATCCTTGAGTACCCCCTGAGCACCAGCAGAGGTGCTCACCCACCCCGTGGTTCCTGTGGTTTCAGCAGTGCATGGCTCCCGATGAAGTCTGTGGACCTACTTGGTTCCTCCCTCCCACATCCGGCCCACCTGATTTACTTCCTCAGTCCGGCTTGATTCCAGCACTTTCCCTGACGCCTGTCCCCAGCATCTCCACCTGTGGACCAGGGCTCAGGTAGCTGGGTTGGGTCCCACCACCAGCTCATTGCTGTCCCCTTGGTGTCCAGCCAGTGGTGTCCAGCCTGCTCTGAGTAGCAGGAGGACTTTTCCCAGGTGAGTCTTAGAAGCTCCCCTCGATTGCCCAGTGCTCTTGGGGGCAGGATAAACCCTCACCATGTCCCACAGTCCTACCACCAGTGACACTGACGCTCCAGCCCTTAACGGCCCCTTCACACAACACTCTCAACCCCTCTTCCCTTGACTAGTTGATTTACAATGAGATGAAACACCATCCCCAGCCCCCTGGACAGCAAATCCCATCACCCTGCGAAGCTACCTGGAGCAGCGCATCCCTCACCTGAGATAAACCCTTCTCTCCCCAACTGGCTCCATCCCCACCCCCTCCACACACACTTCCCCAGGCTCTATTTTTGGTTTTGCTTTTATCACACGTTCGAACGTTTTGGTCCTAGTCTGTCATCTGCAGCCACCCCCTAGCCCTCGGCCTTGTTTCTGAGACGGAGCCGATTGGGTCCTTCTCGGTCCGCGGATCTCTTAGACTCCAATTCTACGGGTGATCACAGGGTGTGCGCAGAGTTTGGTGAACGCCGCCGTCCAGAGTGGAAGCACAAGTTTCTCGGGGCGAATGCCTGCAGGATCCTTGGCTGTGCACACTCCCTGCTCGCTTTCCCCGGGGTTTTTTCATAAAAACACCCTCCCTGGGGCTTCCTCTCCACTTCCCGACTCCCTCCCGCGCGCAGGCTGGCCCCATCCACGCCACCAACACCCCCCCCCCCCGCCCATCCTCTTCCAGCGCGGTCACCCGGTTAAACGCCGTCGGGGGCTAGAGCAGCCGCCCCCACCTGCAGGCCAGGCTGTGGGACCCCCGAAACAGGCCCGTGCGATTCTTCTCGCCCAGAGCAGTGCCGGATGCACGAGGCCCGCGTTTGCGCGCGGTTCCCGGGGCGCGCAGCGGGCGCCGGAGGCAGGGACGCGGGGATGCTCTCGGAGGCCGCGCGGGGCCAGGAGGCCGGACACCGAGCACACCGCGGGGAGGCAGGGGACGCGGGCGTGTCCCCCTCGGGCAGAGCAGGAATGCCAGGAAACGCTCAGCCGGGACAGCCGGGTGGAGCGCGGCCCGGGTGGAGCGCGGCCCGGCCGGACCGAGCCGGGGGGCGTGTCCGGGGCGTGTCCTGGCGGGCCGGGGCGTGTCCCTGGCGCGTCTGGGGGCGTGGCCGGGGCGTGGCCTGTCCGGAGGCGGGGCCGGGCCCCGTTAAGAGGCGCGTGGCGAGCACCCCGGGAAGCTGAGCCGCGAGCCCGAGCCCGCCCGAGCCCCCACGGACCTTCCGCGGACCGAGGCGCACCGGAACGCGCAGGCACCATGACCCAGACGCCCACCTTCAACCACCTCAAAGTGAGCCCGGGCGGGAGCCGGGGCGCCCGGGGGTGGGGGGGGCGGTCTGCTCCCCGCAGGGGGCCCCTGCTGGTGCGTCTCGTTGCTGCGCGGGCTCGGTCCTGCCTCCTGGGAGCTCTTGAATCCCCAGGTGCCCCTGGCTGGCCGCAGAATTGTGTTTCTTCACCTCCTCCCCGCCTTCCCGGGTCTCACTTCCACCATCCGGCGAATGGGCATCCCCGTCCCGGGTGCAGTGCAGCGCCGCGCCGCGCCGCGGGTCCGGGTCCGGGGTCTCAGCTGTGCGCGGGGCTGGGGGGCGGGAGGGCGTGTGACCCGGACACGTGCTTTCCCGACGCTTCCTGCCGAGCGAGACCGGCTTGACAGGGTCTGTTCGGTGAGTTTCGGGGCTCCCAGGAGCCCAGGTTCGTGCCTGGGCCCGCGGGGGGGACACGATGCGCAAAGGGTCCCCTCTTGGCCAGGCGCAGAGGAGGTGGGTGGTGCTCCCGCTTCAGGCTGTACCCATGCTCGGGACCAGATTCTCAGCCGCCAACCCTCGCCTCTCCTGCCTCCGGGTGTCCTGGGAATGAATGGTCAGAGAGGGTCCAGGTCCACTTGTGGGGGGTCCCCAGCTGAGATCTGCAGAGGTGGGAGGGGCAGGGGTGCTATTGGTGTCAGGAGGGTCTGCAGCCTGGGAGAAGGAAGGTGTGTGTGTGGGGGGGGGGTCAGTGTTCATTACCCCCCCGAGAAGCAGGTGTGACAGGCTTGTGACAAACAGGTAGCAGGGGTCACCTGAGTGAGCAGAGGGAAGGGGGGAGATCCCCTGCAGGGAAGGCTTGACCGCCCCCCCATATCAGCTGTTTCCTGCCCTAGGTGCAGGGTGAGGCATCACCCACTCCCCATCCCACACAGTCCCCTCACTCCACATGGCCTCTCAGTGGGGTTTTTTCAGACTTTTACTTGCTTTTCTTTCACTTTGGTTCCCTCTGCTTTTGGGACAGACAGAGATCCTGGGTGAAGTGTGTGTATGTGTGTGTGTGTGTGTGTGTGTGTATGTGTGTGTGGTGGGGGTCCACTGTGCAGCACTTTGGGAGGGCCCTGGTGCCGCCCGGGTTTTGGCCTTCCCCTGATCTCCCCTCTGATTTGAGCTGACAGGTCGCGTCCCCTCCCGGGGCCTCAGTTTCCATACCCAGAGAATGGGCCGCATCTGCTTATAAGGGGTTAGAAGATGATACCAAGATGCTTATATAAGACGATCTGGAGGGTAAAAGGTGATGCTTGAGGGGGACCCCAGAGGGTCACCACTTACGGGCGATGTCATTTGCTCTCGGCCGTCCCTCTGAGAGAGACGGTGCCTGAGCTGGACGGGGAAGCCTAGAGGTGAGAGACCCAGAGGCACTAACCAGGCCTGCTCCCCACACGCCCACAGCAGGCAACTGGTCCCTGTGGCTGGGCTTGTCAGGTGGAGTGTGCCAGATGCTGTTCTGTTGTTTTGTTGTGCTTTGGGGGACGGGGTGGGGGGTGCACACCAGTGTTGCTTGGGGCTATTCTCTGTCTGCCTGGGGCAAGGCAAGGCCCTTCAACCCTATGCTGTCCCTCCTGCCTGGACACTATTCTGAACACTTTGCCTGCAGTGACCCCTGCCAGGGATTCTCCAGGGGAGCGGGGCTTCCCATTTTACAGACGGAGAAACTGAGGCTCTGCGAGGTGGGCTTGCCTTCAAAACTCTACGTGGTCAGCCCACCTTCTGACCTGCCTCTGCAGAAGCCCCAGGGTTGGCAAGGCCACAGCCACCATGCGCCCATCTGGGACAGGCGCCACCCGGGGTCTGTCCAGCTTTAAGATGGCAGAGCTGGGGCACAGGCTCTTACCTTGCCTTGGCCGACCCTGGTTTGATCCTCGGCACTGTCCAAGCACAGAGCAAGAAGTAAGTCCTGGGTGTGGCCCTTGGGAGGGAAGGAGGGAGGGAGGGAAGAAGGGAGGAAGGGAGAGAGAAGGAAAAGAAGAGTAGGGAAAGGCGCTTTATTTTATTTTATTGATTTTATTTTTTTGCTTTTTGGGTCACACCCGGCTATGCACAGGGGCTACTCCTGGCTCATACACTCGGGAATTAATTCTGGCGGTGCTCGGGGGACCATATGGGATGCTGGGAATTGAACCTGAGTCGGCCGTGTGCAAGGCAAACACCCTCCCCGCTGTACTATAGCTCCAGACCCGGGAAAGGTGCTTTAGATTCTCTTTTTTTTTCTTTTTGGGTCACACTTGGCAATGCACAGGGGTCACTCCTGGCTCTGCACTCAGGAATCACCTCTGGCGGTGCCCAGGGGACCATATGGGATGCTGGGAATCGAACCCGGGTCAGCGGCGTGCAAGGCAAATGCTCTACCCACTGTGCTATTGTTCCAACCCCCGCTTTAGACCACGGTGGGGAGCACCCGGGGCAAGAGGTCTCGGTGGGGCCCGAGCTGACACAGTGTACAGGCCCCTGGTGTCGCTGGTGTGCAGGCCACACTTTGAGCAGCAGGTCCCCGGGCTGCCTGCAGGCCTGATGGTCTTTCCTGCCAGGGGATGGCCCTGTGGGCCCTGCAGGGTGGTAGCCTTATAGGCCGTCCCTATATGCCTCTGGTACGTCCCGGAACCTGGACTCTACCGGGGTGTTCCGTGTCACCGAGGACAGAAACAGCGTCCTGCTGACCCTGGAGTAACCCCAGCATCTGGGGGTCCCAGCCACCACCTGTGTCTTGTCATCGCCTCGTTTTCTGAACTGCTCTGTGAAGCAGATGTTTCCATCCTTGTTTGCCAACGAGGGAGCTAGGGATGGGTGCTGAGAGTCCCCCAGGCTGGGACGGCGGTTTCTGCGCTTGATGCAGAATCAGGGCTAAGTCTTCAGAATACCATTTTTTATTTTGTTTTGTTTTGCTTGCTTTTTGGGTCACACCTGGCGGTGCTCAGGAGTTCCTCCTGGCTCTGCACTCAGGAATCACTCCTGATGGTGCTCGGGGGTCCATATGGGATGCTGGGGATCAAACCCGGGTCAACCGTGCGCAAGGCAAACGCCCTCCCCGCTGTGCTATAGCTCCAGCCCCCAGAATACCATTTTATTTATTTATTTATTTATTTATTTTTGTGCTTTTTGGGTCACACCTGGCAATGCACAGGGGTCCCTCCTGGCTCTGCACTCAGGAATCACCCCTGGTGGTGCTCAGGGGACCCTAGGGGATGCCGGGAATCGAACCTGGGTCGGCCGCGTGCGAGGCAAACGCCCTCCCCGCTGTGCTATTGCTCCAGCCCCAGAATACCGTTTTAAAAGTTGTCTGTAGCAGGATTGAACCGAGGGCCTGGTGCATGCAAGGGCTAAGCCTTGCCACTGAGCCACACCCCGCTCAGAGTATTCTGTCCTCTTCTGCGCTGTCCTGGCTGCTTGGCGTGTCTTCTTTTGCTTTTTTTGTTTCGTATTTGGAGAAGGGGGCACACCCAGCCCTTCTTACTCCTGGCTCTCTGCTCAGGGGTCACGCCGGGTGGGCTTGGGAGACCAGATGCGGTGTTGGAGATCGAACTCGGGTCGGCTGCATGCAAGGCAAGCGCCTTACCGGCTGTACTGTTGCTCCGGCCCCAGCTTGGCGTGTCTTAGCTCCTGATCACCGCACCCTTCCCCCACTGCCCTGACCTCTGAAAACGCGGGGTCAGAGAAGGAACTTAGCAGAACCCCCCCCACTTCCCCCGGAAGAGCAGAGCTAGACTTGAAACGGAAGTAGATCCTCCTGACTGCTGGTTTACCAGTTGTACTTTGAAACCGTGTGTTCGGGGTGGGGGGCCGGGGGTGTTAGAATCTGGGGTGGCCTTGGGCTTCAGATATACTCGGACTGGACCCCCACCCTGCGCCCCTCCGCCTTTCCACTTAGCAGCGAACAAGGGGCTCGGGTGAACAATTCCCAGAACTCAGCTTCTGATGAGCTGCTGACCCCCTCCGGCCTCCGAGGGGGGCATGGATGATCTAATCTGCAGTTGAGGGGCGTGGGGGGGGCAGAAACACAGCTCCCCGGGGTCACGGGGTCACTCTGCACCCACAACCTCGTCCTCCCCCCTTATGTGGCCACCCGGGAGGGGGGTGAAGGAGATTCTGGGTTGGAGAGCTTCTTCTTCTTCTTCTTCTTTTTTTTTTTACTTTTTGTGTCACATTCGGCGATGCTCAGGGGTTACTCCTGGCCCTAAATTCAAGAATTACTCATGGCAATGCTCAGGAGAACCCTATGGGATGCTGGGAATCGAACCCAGGTCGGCCATGTGCAAGGCAAACGCCCTCCCCTCTGTGTTCTCGCTCCAGCCCCCTGGAGAGCTTCTTGTTGGAGAGAAGGAAGGCGGGAATTGTGGGGTCGGTGGGCTCACGGCCAAGCCCAGGAGAATGGCAGGGTCCACCAGGGCGGCAGGGGTGCGGGTGTCTCTGGGACAGGGAGAAACGTGTCTCCTGCCCACCAGACTGAGGGGGAGTCCCCAGACAGGGGAGGGCAGGACCAGGGCCTGGCTTTGCCTGGGACAGACCAGAGCCCAAAGGGCCAAACCTTCACTGGGCACAAGGGGAGGTTTCCCCTGGGGGTCCGAGGCCCTGGGTGGACAATTCCCTTTATTAACGCTGGGGCAAGGGAGAGACTCCCTCTGGGGTTCTGTGAGCCCAGAGGCAGGATGATAAGAAGGAGTCGAGGCCTCGGAGCTGGGGGGCTCCCTGGAGGAGGGTGCTTCTTCCCCTCGCTTTGCGGAGGGAGCCCGAGTCAGCCACTGCTCTTTGCCTCGTTTTCCCATCTGTAAAATGGGACTCAGGCTGAGCCCCTGTGAAACCCAGGTGCGGGGCGGCTGCTCTGGGCAGCTCTCCTGGACACGGGTTGGGGTGTGCTTTGGTTCGGATGCCCCCTGCAGTGCTCGGGAGGCTGCCCTGGTCCTGTGTGCGACGATGAGGACGGCCTGTGCTCTAGCTCCAGCCCCTCCCCACCCCGGGCCCCTTGGTGTGGTTTTTAATCATCTGCTTCGAT